TTTTTTTTTTTTTAAAGTCGGATTTCCACTGGGTATTTAAATGACAAAAGTTTTACAACAAAAGCACGACATTAAAAACTAATCGTGTCATTACGTTCATAAACATAGTTACTAAGTGCGTTTGTCATTGAACAAAAAAGCGCTGTGTAAGTGAATTCAATGACTATTTTTATCCACTCTAACGACAGCCGGAACTACGCCCCAAATTTATAGCTGTCACTTTAACAACATTGCTCAAAACTGTTTAGCTAATTTTTATAATCAACGCGCAGTGGAAATCCTGCATTACTAATTTTGCATATAATTTTTATTTTTTATTTTATGCTCTATCTGTCTTCTATTCAAAAAAAAAACAGCAATTTGCCTTTGCTTCGATTATTTTTACACATTACTAAAATATTGTTCTAACGGCGCATACTAACTGCTCTAATGTCGCCAATGTCGGCATTTATAAACGGTTGGTTTTTTTGCGGTTAAAGTGTTACGGACATTGAATTGTTTATTGTTTTCTATTTTGCTTTTGTTCAATTTTTATTTTCTATTTTTGAAAATTGCCTACACATTTATATCACTTTTGTTGTTGATTTATCTATTTTGTTTGCTTTTTTGTCGCTGGTATTTAACTTATATGCTGCGAGCTGCTTAATTTTTTGTTACTTTTTGTTCTTGATCGTTTTTTGGAAACATTTTTCTATATTCTTTGTTGCAAATAATAATCGTTGCGTTCAATTGCTTTCTTTGCCTTTGGTTTNATTTATATCACTTTTGTTGTTGATTTATCTATTTTGTTTGCTTTTTTGTCGCTGGTATTTAACTTATATGCTGCGAGCTGCTTAATTTTTTGTTACTTTTTGTTCTTGATCGTTTTTTGCAAACGGTTTTCTATATTCTTTGTTGCAAATAATAATCGTTGCGTTCAATTGCTTTCTTTGCCTTTGGTTTATGGTTTCTTTGTCGATTACAAATACCACACATATGTATGTACCCACATACATACAACTACATCCAAAAATTTTGAAAACACGCAAAAGAACACATAAAGATTGCAACTAAACGAGGAAAAAATTTCGATGGGCGGGAGTGTGTTTTTCCCGCTTTTAAATAGAGAGCGTACTTGTTTTAGATTGGATTTTTGCGGCTAAAAAAAAATTTTAAAAGCAAAAAATGAATGAGACTGAAAAATATCAAATTTCTATACAATTTGAGACACCCTTCAACCTGAAAAGTGGCAAGTTGGAAGTATACATATTCTATCTTCTCGTAGATTTCAACTTTTTTAAAGTTTTGTTCTGAAAAAAATGTGGTTGCGGGGCAGATAAATTTTAAAAGCTACTTCAGAAAACGGCACTAACAGGTCGATTCTGCACGTTACCGAAGATTTTGTAACCGGAAATTTTTATTACCAAAAAATGTTACCAGTTCTTGTCACCGCGATTCCAGGTTCGTTGGTAATGCAGTTAAAATATTCAGCAATTCATCTATGAATAATTGTGCAGATTCTGGCATTGCATATTTCACGGGGCAATACTTTGTTACCAACTTATGAGATGGTAACAAAATTTACCGGTTACGAGAGTAGAGAGAATGCGAAAAGGGTTTAAAAATTGACAGGAACTTTATTTACCGGTTACGATCTTTTTATTACCAGCGCAGAATAGATTCCGTAAGTAGAAAAATTAGCATATATCACTATCGGGATATCAGAGTAATTTGCGAGTTTAAATTTTGGTATTAAAAATTTTAGCTTAAATATCCCAGTCGGGTAGCTAGCTCCTCTAAAAAAGCGCTTTCTAGTATATCACTTCCGTTCGAAACCCGTTTTCTGTTTTAAACCTTTTAGTTATTAAAAATTTTGAGAATTTTATTGTAGTGTAATTTTTAGAAAATGTTTAAAACAAGAAATCCAATCTGCCGCGTTTGATTAGATCAGGTCTCTAAAAATAAACGAAATGTGGCTATCAGGCAGGTACTGCAATTCACTTCAGAGTGAATTTCAACCGCATTCAATTTGAATTCAAAGTGACTTTCGTTGAACTTCACTTAGAAGTGAATTGCACAAACTGCCTGTATACATATCTCAAAAACTGTTCCTAGTTTTTTATGTTTCGACTTCATATTCAGTGGAACATTTTAATTAAGGAATGGTGGTCAACTGCAACAGGTCGGAAGATTTTCTTATATTTGTAAAATTGTGTGATAAAAATCTTTCCTCAACATACTCACAATTGTCTTATTAGCTGCTAGCAAAGAATAAAAAAGTTAAAAAGCTTTTTTAAGCTAATATCTCAATCAACACAGGAAACAATGAAGCATACGAAGCCCAAATATAGAAGACACAGTGAACAGGTTATAGCGCTAGAGCTAAACCGATAAGTGGCGTTTATCGCTAACTTAAGCTTAGAATCCGCTCTCACAGAAAAATCAAAACAAAATACTTTGCTTTATTTCGTATTGCTTGAAAAAGTACTTTCCTTTTGCTGTAGGTTTTCTTGAAGAAATACGAAAATTTTTTTCTTGAGCTGCAGCTTGATTTAAGAAATTTTGAAAATTTCTTTTCCATTTCTTGTGCGTCATTTTATATGGAAACGGCCAAACGGTGAAAAAATCGCCAAGTCCACTTTTTCAAAAAAAAAAAAATATATATTTTAAGGCAAGAAGCAAGAACATTCAAAAATGCAATGTTTCCTAAAAGATCGAACTATCGGTTTAATTCTAATCGTTTCGAGTCAGTGATACGCAAACTTGCTAAGTCCAAATAAGTCACAGAAAATTTGCTAAGTCCCAAAGAATACAAAATCTTACGTTGTGGAATTTGATTCGCTTGGAGTTGTTTTAGTTGGAATTCGCGAAATTTTCTCTTACAATTTTTTGCAAAATATGTGCTTGAAGAAAATGAGTTTGAAAAGTTTTTCTTCCTATAAAATTAAAAAAACTGGTCTTACCAACTTTTCACCTAAGCAAGCGATATACTTTTTTTGTAAGTAGTTCTTGTCGATTTTGGACTCTAGAATGCCGAAATAAATATTTTCCAAAAGAAAACAATCGTATTACAATTTGTTAATATCTAAAATTACAAACACGTTGCCGCAGCTCCCACAAATTACATATTCCATGCCGGCTGTCCCGCCCTACTCGCCATTTTCAAAACACGCACATGCATATAACGCCACCTAACAACAATTTTCGTTCAAACCAAACATATGCACAATAGTCTCTGTGTCGAAGTAAGTAAATTATGCGCTGGCAAACGGGTATGCAAAAACTAGAAGAAAAAATTGAAAATTTTCCATTTTTTTGGTTTTTCTATTTCCGCATTTCATGCTTTTGCCGTGCGTACATACATTGTTGATTTTATTCATAACATTTACTTTTGCAACTAATGTTAAATATAATATAAATTATGTATTTATGTTTTTTTTTTTAAATTTCATGATACTTGCACATCAAAAGCATTACTTGTTTTTTCTTTTAACATTACTAATAGTTCCATATTTGTAGCATATAATTGCAAAAAAAAAAAAAAATATCATAAAAGCTTACATCAGTTTTACATAATTTATGGTTCATACACACACTCATCAATTCGTTCTGTTCGTTTGTTTTCTTCTTTTATTATTTATTTTCTTATTTCTTTTTAATTTGTTCAAAATTCTAAAGGATCAAGAGTCAAGGCTAAATAAAAAGTTAGAAATAACATTAAAGAAAAAAAGCAAACGAATCACATTTTTTGATACAGATTTAAGGTCAGTTTTTGTGTTTGCATGTTTGTTGTTTTTGTAGTTGTTGCTATCGCTTTTGCTTACAAAAAAATCTGAGCGCAGCGTAGCACGGATTATTTTCACAGAAATTTCATGTTTTCCTCATAGCATTGCATTGCTGTTGTTGGTGCTGGCAATTGCATTACAAATTTAATTAAGTTTACACATTAAAACTACAAAAAATATATGTACATATAAGTTTTGTATTAAATTTAAATTTTTTCGCAATATTTATTTTCAATCTTTAATGAGTTGGAAAAATTCTAACAGCAACTTTTAAGAAACAGTTTTTGTGACAATATCAACCGAATTTCAAAACAATTTGCGATAACTTTTCTGTGATTTTTAATTTTAAGAGCAAGCAATGGGAGTTTTAAAAAATTGCATTAAAAATTAGGATCTCAAAATTTTAACATATATATTTTTTTTTTAATTTCCTTCAGATTTGTTTAAAATTTGGCAACAATTAAAAACAATTTTTTTGAAGCACCAAACAAACAACCAACAACTAAGTTGTAAACGCTTTCCCCGCAGCAACAAAATCTTATCTCGTAAGCACGAAAACCAGTTTCTCTTACAATTACAACAATAAAAGTTGTGTACGTCTGAACAGCTATGCTCACAAGCGCCAGTAACAAATCAAAGAAGTTCTGCAACAATGTTGCTAAGCGGCTAAATGTAACTAAAGAGCACATGTTTGGCAAAAATTTGCTTTTTAATTGTCTTACTTCCTTAATTCATAATAAATGGCTAGCTCCACAGTAAAGTAAAATAAATCTTTAAATAATAGACAATGGAATTGTTGCTGTATGTGCTCTCATTTATATACGCATGACTGTAGTTGAGAGTGCGGTTTTGGCGGTCGCGTGCGCATCAGTGGGATCGGTAGCTGTAGCAATGTTGGTTGACTTTCTTCCTGTTGCTGCAGCTGCCAGCGGCGGCTCGACTGCGCATAGCAATTGTTATATTCGCCAGTGTACCTGCACTGCGTCGTTGGCATCTACGGGCTCCATCAACATATCTCGCAGTAGAAAACATGGTATACCAACCACATATAGCATGAATATGTTGCCAGCACTGTTGCTCTGCAGTTGTTGATTGCAAGTTATGCTTACGAGTTGCTTGCTGTTGCCGTCATCGTTGTTGTTTTTGTTGTGGTTTTGGACGGTTGATTCCGTCTCCAAAATGTGCCTGCGAAATGTTGCTGGAGTGTGTGTCTGTGGTTGGTAATAATTTTCATGCTTTTTGTATGTGGCTATTGCCATCGCTGTTGCATTTATAGCTACAGTAGCTCATCTGGTTGTGCCGTCAATGTTGTCGCTTAAAACTACAACATTCATTTTACTGCTGATTTTGATGTTGTTGTCTTTGAATTGTGTGTTGCTATTATTTCGGTCAGTTGCTAGGTGATTCAGTTGGTTGTTGTTCTCGTCTTTATTATTGTTTTTGTTGTTGTTAGCGTGTTGCTTGCACTTCTGTGGCAATATAGTTTTGCTATTGCGTATCCACTCGCGCGAAAATAACGATTTTTCATTACTACTGGTGCTCTTGATGGGCGTTTGTTTATTACTATGGCTATTGTTGTTGTTGTTGTTTTTTGTTGCTCCTGCTACTAAGGCTTTTAGACACTAATACGCCGTCGCGTTGGCGTCTAGTGCTGCTACTCTGATTCCGCTGGTGACATTTTCGTTGGCGGCTGCTGCTTTTGTGGCTGCTACTGCTCCGGATATTGTTGTTGTTTTTATTGTTTTTGTTGTTGTATTGATAATTATCCAATTTCTGATTATTTTCATTGATCTCATTGTTTACATAGTTTGTGTTGCGGTTCCTGTCATTGTTATTGAATTTCTTGTCATTTGTTGTTGTTGTTGTATTTGTTATAATTAAATTTATGTCTGTTATTTTTGTTGCAGTTATTGTTATTATAATTTTTGTTTTTGTTTGTATTTTTGTTATTATTATTGTTGTTGTTGTTGTTGGTGTTGCTGTGATAGCTATTTGCACCGTTGCGGTTTCAGCTCATTTTTACACGCTTCCGTGGTGGTCCAATTGGTGGGATTTGTTGTGTGGCAAGCGCACGAAATGCCTCCGCAATCAAATGTGAATGTGTCGCGATCATACTCTGCCAGCCAGAAGTTTCCATCACATCAGTGGCATGACTAACGGGCAGCAAACGTACGAGCGAGGGAAGAGTTTTGAGAAAGAGAAGGAGTGCGGGAAAATTAATAAAAGCAAATTAATAAATAAACACTCAGCTCCGCAACTTCAAACGCGCACGCATTTACGCATTTGTTTATAAACATTTCGCACAAAAAGTATGTTTATAAACAATTATGTACATACACACACAAACACAATGCGCATCGCATCAATTGTGCTGCGCTGCATTTGGAATTTAAGGGGGAGTTTCGTGTTGATGTGATTGCTTTTTTGGTGTACTACTTACGTATTTATGAAATCAATGGTTTGTGCTTTCAATTGATCCGCACTATGGAGATCGGCTAATATTAGAGTTTCCGCTGCGGTTTCTACGGAGAGATTAAGACAGAGCGCCTCTTCGCACATCACTTTCAGCTTTTCGAGCGCATACTGTAAACAAAAGAAGCACAAATATAAAATGAAAAATTAGTCGAAAAGTAATTTGTTTAGTTGTGAAAATAAATAATTTAGATTGTAGTTCATGACGAGCATGTCGAAAGGTTGTTCGCAGAATTGGAGATGTTCAAAGGGGAGACTTGTTTGTTGCCCACGAAAACAAAAAAATAATCAAACTGTGAAATGTTTATAAAAGCGACAAATTATTTCGAGGAAAGATACAATCCAAAAAAAAAAAAACTAAGTGCAATAAATTTAACGTTTCATTGTTGGGATGCTTTTTGGTCAAAATTTGATAAGCAGAATGTTTATTTGAGTTAAGCATGGAATTTGAATAAAAGGCAGCTCTTAACTCAAAAAAACTTAGCTGTATTAAACTATGAAAAATTATTTCAAATATTTATTTGAAAAGGGTTACCATATTTTATTCTAATATTTTTGAATCGAAATTCCGCAAAAAGCTGAAGTTCCTTCCTTAGCAAAAGTTTAACGATTTTCGACCGATAAGAACTGAGATCCTGTGGGTAAGTAGTAAAACGGCATACTTGAGCAAACAAACAAAAAAAAAATGTCTGCTCGAACCAAGAACATCGATATATCATACTTTGAGATGCAACGGTAAACGCCGAAGATATGACGAAAAATGTAAAAGGGCGACACCAATGTGCGGTTAAAAAATTTTTGATTTCTAATTGTCTTGCAAAAATACATCCATTTAAACCTGCAAAGGGCGTTATTATGAATAATTGTCCAATTTGATTCTTTTATGAAGGGCGTTTCCATATTTTATACCAATCGATTTGAAAAGACATCAATATAGTTATGTACTTGGAACTTAATTTCATAAAAAAACACATCTAACTGCGCTGCCATATGTTACTGTTTTCAATAAAGTTTTGTGACTTTTTTTTATCATTTGCTACTTCAAAACGTGAATAGAGTTATTTGCACTACAAGATTATGTAATTCGGAAAGAATTTTCATCACTCCTTGATGTTGGTAGCGGAGAAAAAGAAAGGCCTCATCTGCGATGGAAAGACCAGTGGCGTGACTAAATTCTTTTCTCTTTTTATCAAAATTATTTAACGATATAAGATATCTTAACCCATTGAACAAAAAAAAAAAAAATCGAGTTGTGAATAGGTGACGGAAGGCTATTTTTTTAAGTCACAAAGTGATGATATCTTGCAACCGAAAATATCGCTCAGATTTATTTTTAATTAAAATTTCTCTTTCCTGCAATAAAAATATGCACACTCACCTTATCAGCAGCGGCTAGGAGATCATCAGCCATTTTTTCTAAATTTGGCGCTTTGCCTGTGTAGATGAAACGCAGCATTTCTCTCAGAACTTCATGATCGACGTCGTGTATATCGACACGATTCAGTTTGCGCTCCTCCATTTCGTGCTCAAACATAGCATTAAAGACTTCACTTCGTGCTAAAGAAGTGGAAATAATGAACAAATAAGATAACATTCCATTTTAATAAGCTATTATACTTTTAGAAAATAATTAAAATATTTAAGTGACAAAATTAAGTAGCTTTAAGCAGTGACCTTTTCATAAAAATAAATTTTCGATTTACCCGAATAAAGCATTTTAAGTATTCTTTATTTTTTAACTATGAATAAGGCTATACGACTATTAGCTACTTATTATAAATAAATGCCACAACAATAAACTCCTTCTCTTACCTGCCAATATTGCTTTATGCGCTTGAAATTCCCTACCGGCTACCGCCAACGTTACATCACTGAATTTCTCATTATCAAATAGCGCACCCAAATCCTCGGACAAACGACATTCGGGTACTTTAAATTGTACGATATTTGATTGACCAGAGATATTCACGCTATCAGCTACAACGCTAACTTCACAGAAAATAGTTAATTTGTCTTCGGGTAACAGACCGTTGGCCTCATCCAATAGAAAATCTCGTCGTATGAATTTTTTAAAGCCCCAATCTTTGCCCTGTACAAAACGGTAGGCTCTGGAAAAAGGTAGAGAAAGAGAGAGAGAGAGCGAGAAAAGAAGAAAGAGGTAATATGTATTAGTAAAAGCGTATGGCAGCAAATAAAATGATGGAATTACCTCTGCGATTCCATAGCTTTGGTTTCTTCCCTTTTCGCATTCAATATGGAAAATTTAAATTTGGCTCTAACTTCTGATTTGTTACACGACACTAACAATAAATATAGCGATAAGTAATCTTTGCTCTCCTCATCGAGACCTTTTGGATTCACGCGTAAACACCTGTGAAAAGGTAAAAATTGTAATTAGAGAATTTACATTTTAGACGGAATATCGGTCTCAGTAAATAAATGTATAGAAACAAAAAACCATATGCAAATTATGGTGGTTCAAAAATACACAAAAAAAAAAATAAAATTTATTATTAAATTTGTATAACGTTATGTGCATATGCAAATTATGGTGGTTCAAAAATACACAAAAAAAATAAAATTTATTATTAAATTTGTATAACGTTATTCGTATTTTAATTATTGTTTTTTAATTTCACTTTAATATTTTATTGCATTTAATTAAATTTTTTATATTTAATTTTTCACTTCTACTTTTTCATAATTTTTGTTTTTAAAAAGTTTTACAAAATTATCTTGTAATGTTTTTATTATAAGTTTTGATTTAATTTGTTACTGCATTTAGTTTTTTACTTTATACTTTATTTCTTGTTTTAGTTTAGTTTTTATTTACTTGCTTCTCTAGTTTTTGTTATTTTGTTTTGTGCATTTTTCGGCATTTTGTTTATTAATTTTGAAATTTTCGTTCTTTTTATTTATTTGGTTCTCTAATTTTTCTTATATTTTTTTTTGGTTTTCACTTAAAAATTTTAGTATTTTACTTATTACTCTTAAAAAAATTGTCTTCTTTTTTAACTCACCATTTCAGTTTGTCACTAGCACCGGCAGAAAATGTGGACGATTTCAGTACCTCACCCATTTCCTCACGACAAAAACTAAAATTATTTATGGTCCACATATAGCTGAACTTCACCACTTTCACCTGAAAAAAAAAAAAATAATTTTTATGTAATTTTTTTTATTTTCATAAATTAATTTAATGCGAACATATAAAATAGAAAATTACAAGGGATGCCATTGCCTTATGCTCTACTAATTACAATCTCTGCTGCGTTACAGTCTATTTTTTTACTCAATCCCGATTTTAGTATCGATTTAAATCTGAGGAAAACTCGATTATGAAAAAAAATTCAGTTAGTTCTTTTTTATATCAGGACTACGTAAAAGTTCCTATCAGGATAGTCGAATGGCATTGAAATCGATAGTAAAGTCAATAATTGTTCGGAAATTTCGTGCAACGCCAGCATCACTGACTCACATCAACGTCTCTTTCTGCCGGTTTTCTGGACTTAGCAATATGGAAGGTAACAAAATAGTCGATTAGATGACTAGCCACGGTTCGGTAATGTAGATCAGCGAGACAGCATACTTCCTACGAACACCGATTTTTGTTGTTCCTCTGCTTCCTATTTGGCTCTCCAACGGTTCGTCGGTTTGGGCCGATACAAAAAACTTCGCCAATCCGGTCTCTCCTTTTCGAGGTTGCTCTGCAGAAGTAGTCGGGATGACGACGAGTAGTAATCGAATCACCATTTCTTATGTCGATGTAAACCTCGTTAGACAAGCCGACTGAATTACTTGGGTTCTCGCTTTATCATCAGCTTGCCAAGAGATAAAGGAAGAAGAAACTACGGGGCCACCTCACTTCCATTTGGGACAGTGTAAATGGTTTAACAGGCACTGTAATCACGCATTGCGAACTTCAAAAGAGGAAGTGCTTAAATAAAAGCCGCAGTAAATTTGATCTATACAATCCGAAATTTGAACTAAATCGCTAAATTCAGCAAATTCAAAACCTAACTCAAATTTCATGGGAAAATTTCACAAAAATCAACAAATAAATATTAAATATGAGTCTATTGAGTGGCACATCCAACAAAAATTGGATAAAAACAATAGTGATGTGTAGACTGAAATTTGAGCTAATAAACAAAAGAGAATAAGGAAGCAAAAGATCAATAAATAGTCTACACGTATTTCAACAAAAGTTTTATTTCTGCTTATAAAAAGATTGAAAATATTGAAAAAATTTAAAAAAGATCGTTGTCAGCAAGGGCGACGATAGCAAACGGTTTCATCGGAGCCACCATCTTCTTTGGTGTTTAGCAAGAATGATGGATGTTTTGTTGAATAGTGAGTGATAGAAGCCTATAGAATGGATGCTATATGCACTATATGTAGAAGCGTAGGTAAATAGAAACTCATTGCGAAGCGAACTGTTCATCAACGAAAAATGCACGTAAACGCATACAAATCTAAACAGCTACATATGTACATACAAAAAAGAACATAGTAGATTTCCTAGGTAGTCGGTCACAAAGTCTCAGTTTGAGGTGAGCACTACAGCGCTTTATTTGTTTTTTGTTCTTGCTTGCATTTTTTTTTTTGTTTTTGCTGTTTTACTGCAGCCACATTTGCAAGTTAGCAAGCGCAGTTAAGGTTGATAGGAAGTAAATTTTCGTCGTCAGTTGAAATTCAATCACATTCAAGCAACGAGGAAGTAAAATAAATAGCTATGCATGAATGTGTGTTTGTATATTTACTACATACAACATAAGTATATACATACATATATGAAGCCAAGGTGTAAGCGTGCGGCGAAGAAGGTCAGGGTTGCTCAGGTGGGGCGCATAGCAGGCAAGCAAGAAGAATTTCAAAAAAAAAGGAGAAATAGAACAAAAAAAAGTATATAAATAAACAAGAGCACTCTATTGAGAACAAGCAACAACGTAACGAATGCATTTCATTTCATTATGCGAGCAGCAAATATTCTTACAAATTCTTGCACACTTTTGCAATTTTACAATTCTCCATTTGACATTGTTGCGAACTGCGAGCAGTTTCAATTACAATTTGTTTTTCACTTACTGCATACTTACATATGTAGGTATGTATAAAGAAACTATGTTAATGCAGTGAACACTATTTACTACCTTTTTACTTAGTACTTCAATCTTGACGGGGTTGCGAGAAAATGAATGTTCTTGGGCTAGTTTTGTAGCTTCTTGTGGGGAGTGTTTGATTTATGGTGTTTTTACTATGTGTTTTTTTGTTGTTTGCTGCATTGTAAGATTTCGTACTCATATTATATATGCTATATAATATATATGCTTTGCACTTTTTTATTATCTATACTGCTTTTCTACTTTTTTTTGCTACTTTTTGTATTTTCCTGCAAATTGATTTTTTATTTATTCTACTACTACTTTCCGTTTTATACTACAATATTTTATTTTTTTCTAATACCATTTTTTCCTTTTCCTGCAAACAATTTTCTTTTTTCTACTTTTTTCTGCTACTATATTTTTTATTTTTGCTACTACTATGTATTTATCTTTAATTCCTCCATTTTGTTATATTTTTCCTATTTTTTATATTCTCGTTTTTGCTTAATTTATCTAATACAATCAATTTCTCAGCGACTGGTGTATTCTTCTATTAGTATTTTTTCTACTACTATTTTTTTATTTTTTCTGCTACTATATTTTTGGTTTTTTTCTACTGCGTTTTTTCCCATTTTTTTCTACTTTTATCTTTTTCTTTCTCTCTACTATTTTTTATTTTATCTGTTATTATTTCCGTTCCATGTTTTCCTTTTAAATATGCTCATCTTCATTTATTTTATTCATAAATATGTGTAAATACAATATGCAAATCCAAAATTCTCTTTGTCACTTACCTGTGTGTAACACCAGTTCTCGGCGACTGGTGTATTTACTTCCTGTAAAGGTGGCGATGGTACTCGACTAACCGCCATTGTACTACTTGATGCGTTCAGGTTAGATGTCACTCTAGCAGTTTGACTTGCCTGACATTCGTTCACCGGCAATCTGTAATTATAAGAGAGCGAAAGAAAAATACGATTAAAACTTTGGAACAAAGCGAGAGAGTAAGATAGGAAAAATTTGTAAAATAGTGGTGGTAGAAGTATTTTCGTATTTGTTTTGCATCAAATTATGTTGATGACTTGGCAAATAAACCAAACTGAGTCTTATGCTTTTAGAAAAGCAACGCTCTAAAGATTTATATAGCAAAATAGTACACACTTGAGTGAATTCTTTCACGATCCAGAAGAAAATATCCCTATGGCCCCCCTGTAGCTCAAATATTTATTTTACAAACTAAACCGTAAAAATCGGGCCATCATTTTGGGAGTTTATCATAAACAAAGAAGGTGTATTTTCCTTTGTGTGTTCTGCACCATTGATACACACGTTTGATCTTGTCTCGTAATATTTTTTAAGAATGAAAGGACTGAGTAATATGTTAATCCAAATTTTCGCTCTGCCCATTACTTTCACGAGAGACAAGTTTCTTGAAATTTTTTCAAATACAAATGCTGGTTAAGCGTATTATTTCACAATTAAATTTAGAATATTTAAAAAAAAAATTATATGATCGTTTAAAATAAAAATCATTGAAATGGCCCTAGTATTTTGGGAGTTTTTTAAGAACATGGAATCGAATTGCTCCGAGTATAATTGGAAAAAAAATATATGCATTTTCCTTTTCAAGTTGGTTACAAAAGAAAGCAGCTGCCATAGGTATTTAGTCATGAAGCTACTCGAAATTTGAAAGTTGTTAAATGTGTATCATTCAACACAAAAAAATTATTTTCTTCACAGTAGTGGAAGGCGAACTTCTATCCTTTGAAAAATTTTCCTTTGTTTCAAAAGGTGACAGCTTTCGCTTTCAAATTGATGGAAACTTTTTCCTTAGTTGAAATAAATATTATATATTTTTTTCATGTTAGGAAAGTCATAGAGTTACCTACATATGTATGTGCTTTCATTAATATATCGACTGTTTCTTGAATGCCCAGCAAAGGTCTTCATATTAATGAAAGCTTATTGTTATCTTTAAAGTCAACCCTTGACTTCTTTTGTTTTTACTAAGGTCCGAACATAACACGAGTATTTTCATTGAGTAGATTAGATTCATTGAATTGCCATTTGCCATTTCGAGCCTG